ATAATATTGTGCCTTTTGAAGTCAATCGCTTTGTAAATATGACCCCGTAGCTTATCACAGTAGAGTTATAAGAAAGGCTCGATATTTTGAATGCTTAGTTTTTCTTTTTGCAAGGAATCACAGGCACATTTTTGTTCTTCTTGGTGCCGAGGGAGAAGCGAAAAGTCTCGCAAAGAAATTTGCTTTCTGGCTCGAAATCTTTTTGCGAAAAGTAGGAGCGTGAAAGTGAAAGAGCGCGATACTGTCAACAGCACCACGAATCTGTCAACATGAAGCCATTTGACCAATCAGAGCATGATACCAGAATCTGGTATCATGAAACGGCGAAATCAAAGGCATGTCTCCAGGCTCCGCTGCCCTTTCCCCCTCCCCAGTCCACCGCTTGGCCCGCTCAGCTCGCCGATTTTTTTTCCCGTTGCCCGCTTTTTGCCTTTTCCCCACAGCGGAGCCTGGTCCCAGGCTAGATCAAGTCGATTTCCTCGCCCGGCTTCTGGAAAATGAACGTCTCTCTTCTCGAAGATCCGAATTATCTGGAAGAGTTAAAACAAAATATTCCACTTTGGAAAACAACAGGAAGTGATAATTTATCAGACAAAAGGTGCATCTGGGATTGGCTTAAGTATAATATTCGGAAGCATGCTATTTTGTTCTCGAAAAAGAAAGCCAAAGAACGATCTGCTATGGAAAAAACTTACAACAAGTATACGAGGAAGCGACTAAAAAATTCGAACAGGACCCTTCCGACTCTAACCTAAATACTCTAAATGAAGCAAAAGAAATTCTAGAAAGTTACTAAGAGGAAAAAACAAGGGGTGTAATTATTCGCGCAAGGGCACGATGGCACGAGCATGGCGAGAGAAGCACAAAATATTTTCTAAATTTAGAAAAGCGTAATCACGTCAAAAAACATATAAGAAAACTGCTAATAAGTGGTTCCATTACATCTGATCCTTTTGGGATACTAAACGAACAAAAACGCTTTTACCATAGCTTGTACAAATCAAACGTAACAGATGAGGATAGGGAAAATGGAAACGAATTTTTAAATAATTTGAATATACCAAGATTATCAGAAGAACAAAAACAATCTTGTGAGGGAGAAATATTTGTTGAAGAAATTACAGCCATCCTTAACAGTTTTGAGAATAACAAATCTCCTGGTAATGATGGAATACCAATAGAATTTTACAAAAGTTGCTGGCAATTAATTAGTGATCCATTATTGGAGTGTGTGAGAGAGTGTTTCGACCACGGTGAAATGTCAAGCTCTCAAAGAAAAGCAATCATAACTCTTATAGAAAAGCAACATAAAGATCGAACTCTCATTGAAAATTGGAGGCCAATCCCTCTTATTAACGTGGATGCAAAAATCATCTCAAAAGTGATTGCGTTAAGATTAAAGAAAGTTCTACCGAATATCATACATCATAATCAAACAGGTTATGTTGAAGATCGCTATATTGGTGAGACTATCCGATCAATTTTCGATATAATGGAATTTACAGACAGTAAGAATATTCCAGGTATCTTGATTTTCATTGACTTTAAAAAGGCTTTTGACTCTTTAGAATGGCATTATCTTTTCAGTTGCCTTGAGGCTTTTAATTTTGGCCCCAATTTTTTAAATTGGGTCAAAATGTTTTATACAAATATTCAAAGCTGTGTAATAAATAATAGAATGGCATCAGACTATTTTACTTTAGAACGTGGTGTGAGGCAGGGTGATCCTTTGTCCCCTTACCTCTTTATCTTAGCTGTTGAAAGCTTGGCAATTTCCATTCGTCAAAATGCTGACATCAAAGGAATTAAAATAGAAAATTACGAAGCCAAGCTATTGCAATACGCAGACGATACCACAGCAATCCTGTCTGATGAAAGTTCTGCAAAAACGTTATTTCAAGAACTAGAAGTATTTAAGAACTTCAGTGGGTTGGAGATAAATAGCTCTAAAACAGAAGGAATGTGGATTGGTTCGCTTAAAAGAAAAGATGAAAAACCGTTTGGTATTAAATGGCCCAGTGAACCCATAAAAGCTTTAGGAACCTTTTTTACATATGACCAATCATTACTTTACGAAAAAAAACTTTCAAGAGAAGGTTGACAGCATAAAGAAGCTGACAAATATATGGTCATCTAGAGGACTGTCCATTTATGGTAAAGTAGCTATAATCAAATCATTACTTATTCCAAAACTGGTTTTTATATCTTCGGTTCTTTCACCTCCAAGTAAAATCATCAAACAAGTGAATAGTATAATTTTCTCCTTTTTATGGAATGGAAAGGATAAAGTAACGAGGTTCTCTTCAATAAATAGTTATGAAGACGGTGGCATAAAAATGACAGATACTGAAAGCTTGGTCAAAGCTGTACGACTAGCTGGGCTAAAACGTGTTTTCAGCGATAATGAAAGTACGTGGAAATTTTACTTATTTTCATCTCTTACGTAGTGGTGGTGGTCTTTTACTTTTTAAATGCAATTATGCAATGAACGATCTTTCAATCAACTCGGTTTTCTACAGAGAACTCTTAGAATATTGTTAGAATTTCGAAATCTCTTTTTAGCTCACAAAGAACAGCTCTGTATAATTTGGAATAACAAAGATATAAGAATAGATGGAAAACCAGCCTTTTATAAATCTTATTATGACTCGGGGATATGTATTATTAAAGATCTCTTGTTCAATCTCGACAATATAGAATCCTTTAATGCAATCAATAACATAATTGAGAAAGCTAATTTTCTTACATGGACAGGTCTCAGGCATGCAATTCCTTCTGTTCTGAAAACAATAGAGTATACTACCTTTACAGAAAATACTTATTTTACAAAGGGGAATGAGATTTTTGACATAGCGGAAAAGAAAACGAAAGACTACTACTCTTTAATAATATCAAATAAAGCACAATTACCTAGTAATGCAAAGAATTTAAAACATGATTTTGGCTTATCTGACGAAGACTTAAAAATTGCTTACAACCTCTCCCACCTGACAACACAGGAGCCTTACGTCAAATCCTTTCAATATAAAGTTTTAAATTCAATACTTTACACTAATGCAAAACTTTTTAAAATTGGATATCTCCAGCATGACAAATGTACTTTTTGCAAGACTGAACAGGAAACATTATGTCACTTTCTATTTTACTGTCAGCACTCAAACAGGTTGTGGAAAAATGTTGAACAGTATTATTTAACGATAACAAAGGAATTTCACGGGTTGTGTTTACGAGAGGTTATAATTGGAATAACGATGTCAAAATGCCCCTTGTTAAATTATCTGATATTAATTGGTAAATTGTATTTATGGGATTGCGGAAAGAAACAGGTACTTCCAAACATCGAAGGTTTCAAATTTAAAGTAAGAATTAAATACCAAGTTGAAAAATATATTTCCACAAAGAATAATAAATTAGAAACCTTTTATGAAAAATGGCCAAAAGACATTTCTCCCCCTTAATTAAGTTCGTGAGTATGTAATTAAAAATGTAATCTTTTATTAGACACTTTTTTTTTTGTATTTTTTTTTGTATGTGTGGTTATGTTTTTGTTTTTATTTCAGAGCGTACTGTAAATATTAAGTGTTAATCTCTCTTTTATCTACATAATTAAGTATTAATTAATTCTTTGTAAAATGAGCCTCATTCGGCAATTGCGCGGCTGTTTTGTGGCTGTAATGTATATAATTGTGAAATGTAGATAATTGTAAGTATGTCTGTTATTGCGGTTGTTTAGAACTTTGTAATTATTTTCTTTTTAAGTAGCTCTTTGTAATTATAGTAATAAGTGTCTTGAATAAAAAAAAAAAAAAGTCGATTTCCTCATACACGAAACACGAAAGCGGAAAATTCCAAAGCTTTCACGTCAAACTGCGTGACAATACAACTCACAGTAAGGGCCTGAACACGACTTTTATCCCGGTATTACATGAAAAGGGCCAGCCCGGAGCCGCCATTTTTATACAGAGATTGGTAGCAGTGTGCATGTTTCTCGCTTGGTTCATTCGTCGGGCTGAATGGAAAGCGTGATTACTTGGAAAATTTCCAGCCGGGATACCGGCATCACATGTAATCACGCCCTTAGTTTTATTGCGAGATTTTACGCCGCTTTCCCCTTGACGTCACCTATTTTTCAAAGCTCCCCGAACCCACACAGCCAAAATTTCAGCCCCCCCCCCAAACATTTTCATACCCCTTCTCAAAATTAAATTAAGTTTCCCTTATCCACGTTCTCTCCATACAAATATTATCAAAAAAGCCGAAAGACAATCCTAAACAAAAAGCCTAACAACATTTAAAATAAGTGCAAGTATGTTTTCGACTATAACTTCGACTACAAACTATAACTACGCTATCTCTTCATAACCAAATTAGCACTCTCAGTCTCCGACAACTACCTCACTGCAACACTTAAAATCACTTCCACCTTCCAAAAAAACTGTTTTTTGTTACTTCATATCAAATTCTGTGAGAAACCAGTTTCACTGATTAACAAACTACAGCCATTATTTTACCAAACCACGTCCACTGTAACTCCACGTCTTCCACTTCACACATCTCAACCAACCTCTAAAATATACAACGCTGCTGAACTACTCACACATCCCTAATATACTTAAAAACTTCACGTACACTTAAAACAACGACGCCCAAATATACGCTGGCACAGCGTCTTGTTACCAATAGAGAACACGCCCCTTAGCTGTCATTAGTAGCTTCCTCAAAAGATCGTCTTTCAGATCGCTCAGCCTTTCAGTCAGTAAGGAGCAGGTCAACGTTTCCTCGTCCAACCCACCCCTATGGTTTTTTAATTGATCTCGAGTCTATTCTGCTAGTCAATAAACTGTGTTGCCCAAACATTGCAGTCTGTGTTTGGTATCATTCGTAATTCGGTATTGAGGTGTTTCCCTAATCTCCTTTCAACCTGGAACGTACAAGCTTGCATTGAACGATTGCACAAGTGTAACATTTACATTACATTTTAATAGAAAGTTACATTGAAATTAGCCTGTGAGAAGAGACGACAGGAAATGAGTCTGCTGTTCGCAGGCTACATTGACATTTACATTTTGAGAAAATGTTGACACTTGTTCAAAAGGATACTTGTTAGTGACCAGGCGAATTGCAAATCTCCTGATGGGATTTAGAGACCCAAAAAGACACAGTGACTTTGCTTTGTTGAATCGGAACACGTGATCTGAGCTCGAATTTCCACGACGGCTAACCACCAGAAAAGTGTCTATAGAAGGCCGCTGGAAAAAAAAACGCAGATATTAGGAATAAAACATTTTCAGGTTTCATAGCTTACATATTTGCATAGTTCAAAAAGGAAAGCCAGTTAGGGTCAAATGTCAAAAGGTAAATATTTGTTAGTTAGTCGAGGCTGTGAGTAGGGGCTCATTTGACTCACGGCAGAGCCACAACCATCTTCAGAAGGCTTTGTCGGTTCCACCGAGAACAAAATCAGTAGGACCTTGCGCAGCCAATTGGAAAATCGTTTTCAATGCTCACAGCCTTGCTTGAAAACATCCTTCACATGCATGCTATCAACAAAATTACAATACAGGGATGCCTCTAAGCTGTTATTCATGTACTTCCTAGTACACTCGCCTCTTACCGTAACTGTAAGTTCAGATGTCAACAACCGAGTTCTACTTACACTTGCGATGCCTCCATCAAAATCAACCAGCGGCTTTCCAATAAAGAACGAAGGCACTCGGGCCGCAGTGCTACTTTTAGAGTCATCAACTGTGTGAAGCAGTTGATCCTCATTTATCCGCACTCTTTTTTCTCGTTGGACGTTTTCCGCTGAATGCGTGGAGGTGAAAGGAAGAAAAATAATGGTTTAAGTTTATTTCCAGACTTGACAACTGCAGTTGAAATTATAGTTTCTTTGGCTTGTTATTTTACGTCGCAAATCGGCGTAAAGATGGGTTTGCGTTTATCGCAAAAATACGAATGGCACAAAAAGCTGTAGATAAGCGCTCAGTGGTTTTTTCTCAGTTCCTACGCACGCATCAAGTTATCTGCCTGGTAGTTAAACCAAAAACGATTAAACACTCAATTTACCCGTCCTTCCTTCAGTTCATTCATTTATTCCATTCATTTTTCCTTTTTTTCTTTTTCTTTCTCTCCGTTACCTTTTCTGTCACCTACCGGTGTTAGTTTCATCTTCCACGTTTTTCGAATCCATTGTTTCTGGCTCAACCATACCTGATTACCTGTAAAAATAATTAGTCAAGTCACCTTTCATGATCGCTAGATATCCTTCTTTTTCCAGATGTTTTCAGTCTGAGATTGATTACTTTTATCAAAACGAATATTCTCAAACGCTCATAGAAACGAAATCAAGAAAGGAATAGAAAGGGTACAGTTCATGAGACCCCAGCCTGGTGTTTTTTTGTTGTTGGAAATTTTTCCATTTGCTACTGGCTATAACCCGAGAAACTTTTCTTTGGAATTTTCGTGGAATCTGATGAATTTTTTTGTAATGTAGGTAATATTAAGTTGATGATGTCATGAATTTCATTCAATAGGCTTGCCCTCTTTTTGTCAGGGTGTATCGTAAATGATACATGTATTTTCCAAAAACCTTTCTAACACACTCGGTATATACAAGAAAGCGCCTATACTGTGAGATACCGGCACCTGATCCCTTTTCAACGTGATCAATTAAAGGCAAAATCAGGGGACAATAAAGATATAAAAACATAAATAAAAAAGGAAAATGATGAAAGGGGGAAACAATGTGGAAAACAATTAATAATATTGATAAGGGACATTACGTTTCCTGCCTCCCTTACGAGAGGAACATGCAGAAAACACTAAAAAGTAAATCTTTGAAATGATCAAAACTGTCAAACAAGAGCGGCAAAAACAGCATTTACGGCTGATTCTTGGACGTATAAAATACATAGATATAAATGCAAAATTAAGAACAAAAGGCTCTCATTAAAAGGTAGTTGGTGCTATGGCTAAGCTACTGACTGTAACTTCAAAAGACATCCACTTTTAATTGAAGAATGAATCAAGTACATTCTACCAAACAGACTCGACTCAGCCGTACTTATTACTGTGACCCTGAGCAAGCTTGAATACACGACTTGTACCTTCTTGGAAAATAGATTGGAAAAAAAGTTCGATTCGTGAATCGGGGAAGCGAGACACATCTTTCATCAACTGGATGCATGGACCTTGTCGTTGAAATCGTGTCAGGCTAGTCAGGTCGGAACATGAGATGGCTGGCTGTCATTTTACGCAGTCAACTCAACGAGACCTTAACATAAACTTATCGAACGATTTCTTAAGTTGACTGCGACTTCTGCAAGAATCAGTGCTCTGTGAGTTAACATTGAAATCATGGTGGTGATTTGTCTTGCTTTGACGAGTTTTGTTTGTCTTAGCTAGTCGCATTTATCTTATCTACCGGACGCCTTGGCAGCTTGGCAACTGATTTTCCAACTAAATGCCATTGTGTTAAGGCTCATTATAACGGATTTCCATCTAGTCGAAACCAAATTTTCTTATTTCTTTAAAATCGAAGTAAATTGTTCGAATCATCACTGAGTATAATTGGTCCTGAACAACAGGAACAACGTGTGGCACGTGAAAAATACCGCTTTACAACATTAGAATTCAAGCGAAAACCCGAAGGCGATATAGATTACTTACCTTGTTGTGATTGACCAAGCTTATGAACCCCGTCGAAAGTAAGAAATTTAGTATTGCATTTGTTCTACCATGAACTGTCCTTTAACACCTTTTGAATGCTCTAACAGTGTCATTCTGATATTTGCGAATTCATCTTTCCATGTTTCCCGCCCTAGCTCATATAGTTTGCATATATTAGCCTTTTCAAGTGTTTTTATTCTGTTTGACGGATTTAGTAAACCACAAGTATATTGAACATCCAGTTGATTGAAATCTTTCGGTTTTGTTTCCTTTACGTCACGTTGAAAATCAGTGAAGTGAAGGAACCTTTAACATAGCCGCCATTGATAATTTCTGGTATAATACCTCCTCGTAAAAGCGTGTCACTTTTCATTTTGTCATTTATCATGTCTCGCACTTTTGTCAGATTAAGGTGATTGTGACTCTGTAAGGTATATTTCTCAGCAATTTCTCAGTCCGCTTATAAAAATTGGCCAATCAAGAAGTTACTCCACGCTTTAACGTTACGAATCTGATTTTCACTTTTTCTTATGAACCTGGTAACTTGTTAGCACTTCGTTTATTTTCTTTTTAAATTTTCCTTTCCTCTTTCCTTTCAAAATCCTTCAGAAACAACGAGCTACAGCAAGAATAACTCGCTAAATCAATAAGGATGCACGGAAAAAAAATTATGCTTAACCAACCAGCAAAGAGTAATTTTGTTGTAGGAAGCCTGTCAGTTGAAGCCAACCAAGGAGAACTCAGTTGACAGAATCAAGATCCACGGGCATGCAGGAAGTTTGAGTTATTATAAAGAAGTAAGTGATCAACGTGATATGAATATTAACCGGAAGAGTCAAGGTGCCCACCGCTGTTATCTACAATACCTACACAACAGGCAGTAATTAAGGACCAGTTCTGTAACAAAGCTTAATGAGATGTGAATCAGTTTTATTTCGACCTTGACTTCATATAGGTCATTGCATTAGTCTGATCAGTCGCTTAAGGTTCAGTGTATGTAACTTAAACAAGTTGATATTCTGTTTGCTGAGTAAATATCTCTTTGCCAGCTGTCTATTTGTCTTTCACATGAGTTCAGTGGTGCTCGGTCAACTGTGTAATATAATACGTAGACCTGACAGGCATGCTATAAACGACCACTTGCTTGTACTGCACATCCTGATATGCACGTCTCGTGGTACAACTAAACTTACTTTTGTGTATTGGTGAAGTGCGTCTACAGCTCGGTCAGTTCCGTTTACAACTATGTCAGTTCCGTGAAAATAACTCGGTCCCTTACGTGATAAACGCGGTATGTTGTGTGTATTACTAAATCAATATTGAGCAATGTTAAAACTTCCTTTAGCTCAATTAATAGCACTAATAACCGTACAAAACTGTGGAGGAGAAAGAAAAAAACGGTGTGTTTCAAACAAACAAGAAAGTTTCCCGTTCACGAATTTGTGATGATGCTTCTTTCGCTGGTGATGACAATCAAAAAAGTTAAAAAAAGATATTATAAAATCATAAGATCATCATTACTGGTCTTCCAATAAGTATCGTCAATCAGGTTTGTCTTATATATTCAGTCTGCATCAGGCTCCATAACATGTATGGCAGTTTTATTCCTCCTTTCTGCTGGTATTTATCAAATCTCACATAAAGCTGACCTTACACCTGTTGAATTTCTGCCTTCTCTTCAGTAAAACAAACTTCCTTCCGGTTTCGCCCATGCACTAAAAGGTAACGTTACGCCGTTTGCCTTGCCCTCTTCTTGAACAATTCGAAACGGACGTGAGAGAACGCACTCTGCGCTGTACAAAGAAGAGTGGGGCGCGGCTTTTCGTCACAGTTGCGGTCTACTTAGCTGACCTTCAGCTCTGTAATCACATTATCATTGTAATGGGGTTGATGGGCTACAGTGAGCTTTTAATTAAATAGACTAATAGTGGCAGCCAATGGTAGTCCTTTCCTCCGAACCATTTTCACTTATTCGGGCGCTTAATGTTGACTTTCCCAAATTTTTAGGAAACGAAACTTCGATCAAAAAACCTCGCCGGAACTAAGAGCATATATTTACTTACTGCCCCTATGCACTTCCTGTATAAGTAATTAACACGAATAGAGCGGTTACCAATTAAATGTGTTCCGCAGGGCCCGCGCAGGGGGAGGGCCCCCCGCCCCTCGCACTTTCTATAATAAATCAATCAATCAATAAATAAGGTGACAGACATTTTAAAATAAATGAGGTACTTTTGCTAGGACAATGATAATCGGCTGGTGGACCTTGCGGGAAACATCCAAATTTTCGATCCTAAGTCTGATGGAATAAGTTTTAAAATGACTATCTTTACAAAAACTGCAATTAGTTGTAGCTAGACTTTCCAGAAATGACGTTTAAAATACTGTTTCTCGGTTCATTCTTTATTGTATCGGTTTTCATTTACGCTCGACATGGAGAAGATGAACAATTTTGCTTGATTATCAAGTTGAGCACCCGTTGTGTCGTGGATTTTGTGGAGACAAATAGGTTTTGCATTGTAACGTCTTATGGTTAGAAATATTTTAAACGAAGAATTAGGTGGACATTCTGTCTCATACAATCCTGCGATCATAGCCAACAAAGAGGCGCATATGATCTTTTGTAATATAAACAACGAATCTGAAGGATCGTCACCGACTGCCAACATTAGCAAAAAACGGGCAACGAGAATTTCAGATTATTTTTGCAAAAGCGGAAAACCCACTCTCTCAGGTGAGGTATTACCTACTGTCAAACCTGTATTAAACAAACCTTTGATAAGCGTCAGTTACTAAAATTCCCGGAAGTCGTTTCCCTTGATTACCGTAAAACGTTTAAACGGTCGTTTTGTTAAGATGTTCCATATGCACTAGATACATTGTACATGGCCAAATACCAGTACGTCGCTGTAATATGACAGGAGGATTCTAAAATGTCAGTTAGAATCTCTCTTACTTATTTCTTGTTACAGTTATAGTGATATTTACATGCTTTAGAATACATCTTGTTGTTTTAGAGTTCTCCCCCTCCCTTCAACTGAAGAGGTGGAGGGGCTCCCCACTTGAAAAACTGCTCCGCGGGCCCTGTTTGTTGCACGTTTTATAGTACAGTCAACTCTATCTAAGACAGACACCTTAGTGGGACCGGATCAATGAGTCCGTATAAGACAGATAGAGAGATGTCTGTTTTGTAGATAGTCAACTGAACTAAAAGGAATAAAAAAAAGGCAGGGCCCAGTTCGAGGTGTCCGTCTTATGGAGGTGTCCGTTAAGAGAGAGCGTTGGCTGTATCAGTGATGAGACTCGTTTTGCTGTTAGTGCAAATTAGTAACACAACGGTCGCTGGTGATTACGCCAATCACTAGTATCTACTGTGTGGTGCGAAATAGTCACCTGCTGAAGATCAGTTGTAAGTGAACGAAATTTACCATGAATAACAGGGGAACTATCGTGAGACAAACAATAAACCGTAAATGATTGTTGTGAAGATACAGTAGTTTCATAGGCAATAGAAGTGGAGTAGTTGTTTGTCTCACACGGTTAACTTCGGCAGAGTAGACCTTGGAAATTGTCAATTTTACATTGCCGACCTATAGATCTTACCTTGATTGCAGACGTCCACGTCCGGAAAATATGCGGTTATACCATGCCGTAGAGGCTCGCAGTTCCACTTTCCATCATTTTAACGTCATGGTGAAAACAACTGAAAATTGTGATCGAATAATTGGCATTGCCAAACAAAATCTACCTGATTTTGGGGAAATGAACTTGAAGCGATGTAAAAAAAACTAAATTAAAGATGAACAATTCTAGAAAAGTGGATATATGATATGGTAAATAATGCCACAAACGATGCAACCACCTTTTCTTCGTTTTTTTCTTTAAGAATTAAAACAAATCAGAGAAAAATTCTTGTGTTTTAAAATAATTTAATATCTCTCTCTACGCTTCAGTTCACATCTGATAATGACTCAAGGCCACTTGTCGGGTGCGAAGATATTTCGCACTGGAGGAAAGTTTGAGCCCCGAATGTTATCAAATAAACGTCTAGTGAACTCGATCGTGCCTCTTTTACCCACAGTAAATTCGAAGGTTTTTTTTTGCCTTCTTCACTTTTATGTCAGAAATTTAGATGCTGTAAGTTTGGCTACTGTTGAAGGAATCAAACTAATCTTCAGTCTTAGCTAACCTTGCTAACACAGCATCTAAACTGACTCTGACATGAGAAAGTTCTGATCTTATCTCAGAAAGTTCTAACTTCATTTCATGAAGTGATAGGTCTTCGCGAATGTCTGCAACGTCTGAATTCTCGTCATGTCGTACCACACTCTCCTTTGTACGTAGTAAACTCTTAGAGAGACCGGTAAGTTCAGTCTTCACTTTCAAAACATCAGATCGTAGTTCCTGAATTTGCACGTCTTGATAATCGAGATCTTCTCTCGGGCACATCTACAGTAAAGAACATAGCAATTGGCAAACTCTCTCCAATTATTCAACTTCGACCACATTCTCGTCCCCAGAGCCTTCTGGGGGCCTGAGCACAAGGACCAGGAGGCTCTGGGGAGACAGGATTTGAAGTCCTAGATTTTAGTTCTTCCAGTCATTTCTGATTTTCTACAACGTTTCTAATAGCGTTCGCTTGCTCTTGCAGAAGTGTCAGTGACTGTTAATTTAGGTGATTCAAAGCTCCTAAAAGAGAATCCTCCAAGTTACTTTTGAATCGGAAATGACCGGAAGTCCTTAATCTAGGACTTTAAATCCTGGGCCCCCAGAGCCTCTTGGTCCTCGTGCTCACGCCCTCAGGAGGCTCTGGGCACAAGAATGCTTCGACCATTCACAAAAAAACTATTATTATTATTATTATTATTATTATTATCGTTATAATTATCATTATCGTTGTGTTTTTCTGGGTCTTCTCGACTGGTAAGGGTTGACAGTGGTATAAGTTGTAGGCACACGCGATCCCATACTCCCAGTGTACCCGTGGAGGCACATTGTAGTAGCGCTTTCTATATTCTCTCTGACCAAGCATGCTGTATCCACTAAAATTATGTCCCACTGCTTCATTTTAGTCACCAAACAATCTGCACAGTGTTGTCTTAGAGGTCTTATCTATGCACTGTTTCACCGAATTTGTTCCTAAAGCTCGTTCTTGAGCAGAGAGGATTTAGCGTTCTGTTCTTGTTCTTGCCCTTGATCTGCTTTTTATTTTATTACTTGTAATACCTGTTACAATCCTCCACATAAAGGAATCCACTCTAGCCATGGCACATCTGAAGAGTTGAAAGCAAACTCTCCATGGACGCCTTTTTCCTTTCAGTTCCCGACTTTCTCCTCTTTCCTTCTCCCTCTGGTATAGTCCTGAAGATTCTCTTCTTCAACAAGCACCTTCTCATTCAAAGCCATTTTCTGATTCACTCTATACTATCTCTGAGGTAGCCATGCAAGGATTTGCTCTCCTCTTAACACACTCCTCAATACCAATCAATCCTTTTCCCCTTCTTCCTCGGTAGATATAGTCTGGCAACATTATCCCTGGTGTGTTAACAGCCAATTTCGTTGCCAATATCTTCCTAGTTTTTCTATCCATGCTTACCACCTCTTCCACTATCCAATTCACGATACCTGCACTACAGCGTACTACACCTGCGGCCAAGGCATTGATGACAGATCATGACACTAATAAGATTTCCACCATTCAATTTTGATCAACACAGCTTCTTAACTCCAACATATTCCACTGTTATCATGCCTTTTGTACTGATGTTTTGATATAGTTCTACCGGAAGTCTAGACGTGTGCGCTTGATTTGCCGGAGTCAAGGGATATTGTAATAGTGTGCTGGCTGATTATCATGGCTTTTGACTTTTAAAGTTTGTTGAGTTTTATCTCGTGTATCAAGTGCGATCCGTCGGGAATCGTTACACCTTTTATCTTGATATTTAGAGTCTGGTCCAACTGCAAAATGCCGAGGTATCTGTAACCCTGTTCCTCAACCCTCCCAATGTGCTGGTCGCCAGTAGTTACATTCCACGGCTTTCCCTCTCCTAATTTCCAGGACAGCACACTTGTCTAGCCCAAACGACATCTTGATTTCTTCAAATATTTTCTCGTCATATCTTATTTTGATCTTAATTCCACTTGCCTTAATTTTCTGCTTCAGCACTGCTGAAACATACATAGCTCTTCTTTCCCCGAGACGATATTTTCTTTTCAGCTTTTCCCTATCTTTGTTTAAATGTCATGTTTTGTCTTCGGATTTCTTCAATCTTGCTAAAATCTTTTCTCCAAGTTCTAATGTTCCTCTTGATCCCCCTCTCTCCAAATGGCTCTTCAGTTCTTTTTTCTGTCCTCTTTTTCAGCATTCCCATTCTTTCCGTTGTGACACATGTTGTGACATTTGCAGCTTCATACAGTAAAGAGATTAGTTCAATAACGTTTTACCGCTGAATCGTCTTGATGACTCCATTTACTTTTCCAACTTCTGCTCTCAACTTTGCTCAATCGCATGACCTCACTGATTATAATCCTAGTCTCTGATCTAAATGCATCACTACCAGAATCCTGTCGAAGAGAACATCGAGTTCTGGGTTCACCGCTCTTTGTAGCTCTTTAGCTGGGGAACGACTAGCTTCCTCGGCAGCTCTAATGTTATCTAGTCAACCCTAGTCATCGCTAGTCATCCCTAACACTTTGGTCTTCTTCTTGGATATCAGGAGTTATCCTTGCGGGCGTGGTGTGGTGAATTTGTGGTTCTAGGCTCCGTAGTTTCAATCTGCTGATGTTTGTTATTTGCCCTCAGAGTTTTTTTCTCTTTTTCCAATGTCTCCAGCTACTTCTTGTGCTTAATCTGCCGTACTTGAGCTGCTAGTCTCTGCTCAGTAACACCCGTTAACTCATCGTTGGTGTTATGAGATTCCACAATCCAACAGTCTCTTTCTGTAATTTTTCCTCTCTTGCTCACTCCTAATGTAACACTAAAACAGTCGTTCGTTGTCTTCCTTTGACCGGCCTTATCTCTCCTGTCGTTGTTCGACCAGGCCTGGTCTTACTCTGCTGCCACTCTTTTTAATTGCCTTGACACTGATCTTAAGCAAATAGCGTGTGTATTTCCTTCTTCTATTATTTTTTCATCTAGATTAAATAATTTTAAGCATAAACTCTTTATCTTATTCCTTAAGTTTGCTAGTAACGTTTCTCATCTTGGAGAATTAATGTGTTATGATTGTCGTTTTTCTCTTTATTGTAACTGTATTAGAAGGTAATTAGTTTATATCATCTTATATCTATGTTAAACCATACATTTGTCTAGTCGTATATTACTGATTAGGCATTGTTTTTATATGTGTTTTTTGTATTGTTGTGAAGGCCGTAAGTTAGATAACTCATTGGGTTATTACGTCACCTTCGTTAAATAAAGAATATTGTATTGTATTGTATTGTAGGCTTGCGCTGCTGCTCCACAGGACATCTGCCAGACGCGACACCCTCGCTGGTCTCTACAGTGCCGTTGACGTCGTTAGAGTAAAATTCAAAATTCGACATTCTCTCATTAACTGAGGTCCTGTTTTAAGGTTTACACAAACCAATAGTTTTACAGTGCCACCATCACTAGACGGATTTCTAACCAAAACGCACGAGGGATCCACCTTCCTTCATCAAGGTAGTCTACGCTGCGCCAGAAACAAACCTAGTGTTTTCTGGCAGAGAGGAACCCACGCCCATTTACCATATATTATTATTATCATTAACTATTATTATTATTATTCATTCAAAATATTTCCCCGATTATGATTGGCTAAAAGCAAACGCATAATTTACCATAACCAGCTACTGATTACCAAATTTGGAAGAATTTTGCGTTTAATGAACCAATGACATCAAAAGTGCAGCTTTTTTGCTGGTTAATGCACCGTTAACCGAGAAGTCCTGGGGACGAGGTTCAGTTGTTTTGGTTGTAAAAAAAAAATGGCGGACATTTCACTGGTTTCAAGAGTCAGAACTAGGCGAAATAATAGCTAAAAACATGGCAAGAACGGCAAAAAAACAACTCGAAGGGCGACATCTGTTATTTGGAGAATATTTGCGGAGCTGAACAACCCTAAACGTGCACTATCGAGGATGAACTTAACATTGATGGATCGATGGAGGTAAGCATGTTTTAGCCATGTTTTTAAACTAGGAATTATTTTGAATGAATGATAAAACAATTGTTGAATTCGGCTTTTGTATCCTATGAAGAATAATGGAGATCTCAGACGGTGTTATCCGCTTCGGCCAAAGGCCTCGACGGATAACACCCTCCTCGATCTCCATAATTCTTCATAAGATATTCAGCCTCATTCATGAATTGTTATTATTATTCCTTCAAAATATTTCCCCGATTCTGATTGGCTAAAAGCACACTTTTAATTCACCATAACCAGTTACTGATGACCAAATTTGGAAGAATTTTGTGTTTAACGAGGAAATGACGTCAAAAATGCAGCCTTCTACAGGTTAATGAACCGCTAACCGAGAAGACCTGGGGACGAGGTTGAGTTGTGGTTTTGGTGGTTAGAATATAATGCCGACCGTTATTTTGCTTGTGAAAACAAAAATGGCCGACACTTCACTCGTTTCAAGAGTAAGAACTACAGCTGGAACTAGTCGAAGTAATAGTTTCAAAATTAGCAAAAACAGCAAGAAGACAACTCCGAGGGCGACATCTGCTATCTGGAAAATGTTTGCGGAGGTGGACAAACCTAAACGTACACTATCGAAGATGAACTGAACATCGATGGATCGATGGAGGTAAGCATGTTTTAGCTATGTTTTTAAACCAGGAATTATTTTGACTGAATATTAAAACAACTTTTGTATTCGGCTTTCGTATCATATGAAGAATTATGGAGGGTGTTATGTAGATAACACCCTCCTCGATCTCCATAATTCTTCATAACATACTCAGCCTCATTCATTAGCTGTTAACTTATTCTTATTCTTCTTCTTATTATTATTATTATTGTTGTTGTTATTACTAAGGTAACAGCAGTAATAGTGCAACTATAAATAGGTGGTGAGTCGAGTGACTTCAAACGCGTTCGAGTCCGATTTGTCCGATTTCATTGAGAGAGCAGAATTATGTGGACTGGAATAGGAATCACATATTCACTAACCCTCTAAAAACCCATTACATAGTTTATTCTCTTACTAAAGCATCCTAGGTCCACCTAAAACATAAACGAAAATATTTGTGGAACCAACGGTTATAGTTACTTTAATTACCTTAGCCAAAACGCTATTTTCGTAGTAAAATCCAATTTGAGGGTACAGAGATGTGTCAGGAGTATATTCAATGCACGAGTCATGGGCTTCTGGTACAACTCTGCTTCCGTTCACTGTAAAGACGACAGGAACTTTATAAAGTTGTTCATCGATCTCTTCCTTTTCCTCGAACACAACAGTACATCGCACTACGTCACCTCGACGACAAGCAGCGGGACCTGCATGACACAACACTTTGTTACAATCATTACGTTACACAAATCAAATCTGCTTTATTAAGAAAAGTCCTCGTGAGGTCGTTAAAAGCTTGGCGTGAAAACATTGATCAGGATCCTCAAAACAATTGGACGAATTAAAAAACCATTTCCAAGACATGACAATACTTAACATCACTAATATATTGATTTTTTAATCATCAAAATCCTCATCATCATCATCGAGAAAATCTGGATCGGCCCTCTATGGTGAAGAGAAGAGATAATTTTAAATCGTTCACCGTTTATAGGCCTTAAGTCCAACGTTTCAGGATTCGAGGAGAAAACGATAATTCCAACCGGGATGGAAAGCCGGTTATTCTCTAAAAATCCTATGGCAACCAATGCTTGTACTGCTGAAATTCCCTTGCTAGGATAACTGACAACGTTCAGCCTTATTAATATTCACCTTTAGTTGCGTTTTTAGAAAGAGTTCCTTCAGCATTACTGGACCAGATGGTCTTCTCACCAGTGTTATATCCCACAGTTCCTCCTGCTCTCCCTGGTAGCCAATATGTGTAGTCCTTAAACACGACCCCCAGAGCAAACCACTTTGTCGTCCCCCCTTCCATAATCATTACCTAACAAGAAAGTGTTTGAGCGATAACTATCTTGCTTCAGTTCCCAACTGTCCTTCTGTATGGTACTACATAGCCCCTGCATGATTACAGTTCCGAAAGTAACGATTCTCAGCCAACTAGCAATCTGGTCCGTACCGCTGATGTTTGATGCAAGATGGCGTGGATTGTGCTCTAGGTTTTTTATAACCGAAAGTACTAACTCGCCCCCTATACCATTCCCGGCAAGAAAGCTGGTAAAATTCATTGCTGTCGTGTGACTAAAACAGAACATAACAACTTTTAACTCTCTATTTATTAAGCTAATACAAGCTAATGCTTATTGGGAACACTGAGGGAACAGAAAATTGTGAACTACTCTCGTTCTACTTCAGAGATTATAGCGCTGAATAGAACAGACTGGCCACTTACCTCGAAATGAGGAAATCTAGGAGAAAATGGAGCAAGATATTTGGCGCTGCCCTCTTTTATCGCAGTTACAAGGTATCCTTCGACAAGAATGTGTCTACTGATATCCCATGCCTTTAATATAAAAGAAATGTGCATTAAATCGCCATTCAGACAGTTCTAGACTATTCAATGTTGCATCAAAATATGCTATACTAAAAACGGTACAGCGAGCAAATTTCGGTATGTTTCAAAAATTTTGTTTTCAAATAAAAACTATTTTTGGATATCAAGTAGTTAACAAAATTTCGGTAATTATGTCAAACAAAAAGATGTCGTTTTTCCATGGAAGACTTTTCGATAGAATCACCGTTAGCACAGTACCTTGGGACCCGTGGGAAGAAGCGCTTTATTACAGCCTTGCTGAGTTGTGAAGGTTCTGTAAAGAAGTTGTTTCACCATGCTTTCAGTGTTTCCGGTATCATCTAGCACATGGTCGAGTTTATCTAAACAAAACATCGCGATAAGACTTTAAATGGCGGCAAACTAAGGCCTAATAAATGAGACACTCAATACCTTAAAATACGAAACAACTAAGAATGAGTTGTACTAACTCACTTACCTAAAGGAGGGAAGAGGTCACCGTAATTCAATCTGTATTTATGTTTGAGTTCTAATACAACGCTCAGCTTTGGAAAAAGGAAAAAAATACAACGCTGTTTCGAAACATGTTTTTACTAAGATTGCGGCTGTAACTACACAACTTCTATCCATTTCAAGACGAAGACTTTCTGTTCTAAAATCACATTAGACATAAAGCAATGGGCCGTTAAATATTGTTGTAAGAGTAAGGTCCCCAAAGTAAATCGTAAATAAAAAGAACCAGCTTTCTCCTTTCTTCAGCTAAGTTATAAATATACAAACAAGTTCTCTAACGACAGAAATAAGAAAGCATTAGTTAATTGGAAAATGGTTAATTGAACGTCATCAGCATGGAGTCAACGCATACACACTGTTTGCTGATAAATGAAGTCAATAACTTTGTCAGTACTGACCAAAGCCGAGCGGCTAGTGAGCTCAAATTTTAGTTGTTACAATAACGATGAAAAACTATTTTTCACTTCTAGCACTATAACAAAACAACCATAGACTTACCAAATTTAGGTCTTTGTTTCTTGCTTCGGTTTCATCAGCTCTGGGCTTTTTGCCGCAAAACCACAGGGCAACAGTGGATATGATGTTTAATGGCACTGGTATAGGATGATAGTTGCTATATGTCTGGATTGTAACAGCTTTGCGGAATGCCCATTCCTGTCTTGAATTAGTCTGCGTGCAAATGAACGAGAGAAAACCGTTAGAGGAGCCTGAAGTAGTCAAGACTGGGACTGAAAATTCGACTGGTCTAAGATGCAAATCAATTTTGGCCACTTCACCATTTTAGCCTGATTCTGCGGGAAGGATACTTTCAATAAATTTTTCGTATTATTTTGCCAACAAATGCAAGCCATCCCAGACAAAAATATGCCGGCAGGCCACCTCTAAAGCAAGCCAGAGAGAGGTGTAAAAGATGTCTGTTTCTGTCAAAAATTTCTTCAGAACCTACAGTCCAAAAAAAGATTCAAAGCTAGATATACAGGCGAACTGAGGCTACACGTGCTGACTAAGACGATTGCACGAAATGTTTGGCCAGAGGTCAATTATGACCATTTTAATACCTGTACTTGCTGGTAGGTGTTTGAGAGCAATGCGATCAACATGTTTATTAGAAGGATGAGAGCCATGACGAGAAAGAGAGCGTATAACAAATGAATAAGGGCTCGTGAGAGTGTGTCAGTTGACTGGAAAAAACTCAATCCATCCGATAACTCCAGCAAGGATAAGCCAAGTTGAGAGATGATCTCCCACCAACTGAAAAATCAACGAAAATAATCAATGTTGAGAACTTTAATTCTCGTACGAGGCATCCATTATGATTCGTAAAGGAGGATCAAGAAGTTATCCACCAACATGGAGATCTCTCCCTACAGATTAATGACCCACCCAAGAACAAAGACAGTTGTACTCTAGGCTGTTTACTGCCGGCCAGAGGTTTGTTGCGCAGCTAGTGGTTTTTTTAGGCACACAGAGTCACTAAGGACCAGTCAGCTGATGTGAAAGCACTGTAATAATGGGTCTTTCCAGAGAAAATACTTTTGCAAATATGAAACAAAGGCAGCCTCTTCTCCTTAATTGTTTCAAGACTCAGAGTGCTGGGCCAGCCGGGCTGCAGGGTTAAATGATGGACCAAATTAAACTTACGATCACCATGACTTCTAGAACCATTATAGTACTTACTCGAAAGATGGCTCACGGGAAGAGGGAAGGAGAGAGAACTGTGTTAATGATGCCTGATAACCTTTAAAAGTACTTATTCTGAAATATAATACTTACGAATGCTTTACAGTGTTCCCAGCCATCGTCGATTCGGCAACAAATATTTTCGTTATCGTACTTGAAAACGCTAGGGTGATAAAGGCAAAATGAAGTACTACTACAACAGCGTCTTTAATAATGCAAAATAAGGCAATTTGTATTGTTCCTACTCTTTCAAAAGCTTCTAAAATGGAGCCAAAAACTCGAAATGTAAACAGCATGGTGTTGACGCCATAAAGTATTGCGGCTATATCCAGTGTCCGGTTGTGTCTTACGGTTCCCCACTCCACCCATGTGAAAATCCGTAGAGGTAAAATTGCGCAGAAAAAGATGACCAAAGAGGTGACGTCAAATAAGTTCCAAAGATCACTACAAGGAAATGAAAATGTTAAACAATTATTCTTTGAAATCGAGGTAAATAGTGGCGAACATTTCTAAGGCCATTGAAAAGTGATCTCAGCAAAATCGGAAAGGAAACCATTAATAAAGAAACGATTAGCTTGATAAACAGGTTAATTAAAGGCTGAACATGCAACCGTAAAAAGTAGATGCTTAAAAGTTAGACCTTTACAGTACTTTAAAACACGGCAAATCATAGCCAGTTTAGTCTTTTTGTAAGCTTTAGCAACAATGGCTTAAAAGAAAACGTCAAAAGTATAAATTAATACCCGGCCTTCTGGGAAGAAGTAGAGCTTTATTTTCTGTGCAGAGCTTTATTCCCCTTTGAAGGTGGATTTTTGGTTTCGAGCGGCACATGGTAGGGTTTTGGGAAAATAGAATTTATTTACGTCAACAAGCATAGTAAGATATTACCGGAAATAGTTGCCTAAAAGTTTTATCTTCCTCGCCTTGCCACGCATTAAGTGTCCAACCTGTTTAATTTCAACCAACAGCCGACCGAAGAGGAATACTAAAATTGTCCATTCCAGAACGCTGAATTCAAGTTGTGAAGGCTCAACACAAAGTGCTAAATGCAATCCTAAGAGGGCCAGGTAGCTCAGCGTATCCCGAACAAAGATGAAGTATGGAAGTATAAAAAACTCCTTGTATCTTTGATATAAACCTGTGGAAAAAAATGGACATTAATTTTTTGGGAGAGAGACGTAAAAACTCGGAATGTAGAAATGGACACTTTATCTTGACACGATTCTACCTTCATTGTAAAGCCTGCTCTTTAAGAGTGGTAGTTTATTAAAACAGAGTTTAGGAGAATGACTGAACCGTAACGCAATAATATAAGTTATTTATTGACGCATGAATTGTCCATTGCAGACAAGGATTTTTATAGTTCTGCCTAAAAAAGTGAATGCTGATGGGACTTAACTTCACATTAAGGTTTTCTGAATAAGTGAATACAGTTGACTCCCGCTAACTAGCCTGTTCCAGGCGTTCAGATAGTAGAGCGCGGCGGTCAGTAGGGAGCGAGTTAAATTCTCTTGCGCTCTACTATCTGAACACCTGGAACAGGCTACCCGCTGACTCGAAGTACTTTTTGCTTCACTTTAGATCATTTCAATGAAAATCGATTTTCCCCTCCAATAACTCGTACCATGTTACAAGGGCGTGACAAGTCGGGGAAAAGACCGTGTACTGGAGTCCGACACTTTGAATTTATTTCAAAAGAACAGTGTCAATTCTTTGTCTTTATTTTTTTTCACTCCAGTTCAAATTCAGTGTCTATTGCTTAATTGCATTACCAATGCAAAGCAATGCAATGCATTGCGTTGCATTGTCCATTTGCTTATCTCCTTCCTTCCGGTTATTTGCTTCAAACTCCAAATAACTCGAACTTTTTCCATTTCCCTAGAAGGCTCGAGTTATTGGGAGTCTACGGCAGTCACAAAATACTCACTTGTAGCCTTGAACTCTTCATCACGTAGATAAAATAATCTCCCTGCAGAGAACAAAACAGATGACGAAACAAATAACGCTTAAGGCGGGATTTGAATGCAAATTGACTCACATTGTTAATAGTTGATATAGATGAAAAAAAATCATGCTTCGAACATCTACCAAAAATAAATAAATAAATAAATAAAGGATTACATAAGATTAGTCTTGTCACTTTATAGTCAAGTGTTGAAAACCTACATAACCTGCGCGGTGACGTTGCCAACACAGTCTGGACGGAAAATATCCGCCTTAGGAATACAGTTTTGTTTCATAGTGACATTTAACACTTGAACTATTAACATGACATCGTTCCTTCCGCGCTCGTTTGTCCGTCCTTTCTTGCATTCATTTATTTGGTATCATCATATGAAGTCTAACCTGATAAAAAGCAAACTGATAAATTTGACTTACTTCGAAAAATAGACCTCAACCATTCTACTCTAGTTGCTACACATCCTGTTTAGGTAAAAAGGAAAAAATTAAACAAGTCAATCATGAGTTACTGCAAAGAATCCCCTAAAAGATTCTTAATTCTCCATTCAGTTGTTATCTCCCTTCCACACATAATTATATACACCAATATGCTGAAAATAACTTGGACCAGTACTTTACGTACACGAACTTACGATTCTTCCAATGTATAATGATCCCGCCGGCCGGTAGCAGCTACATCATGTAGCTTAGTTTCAGGCACGGCTAGGATTTGTGAGTTCACTTTCATTTATTTACAACTCCACCACCATACACAGCGAACGAACTGTAATTTTTAAGAATTGCTTTTTTTCTGCAATTTTTTAACAGTACGACGGGTGATTATTGAATTCTGCGATCTTACAGTGCATGCATCAAGACAAAATTCCAAAGTACAGCGCAAAACGTCATAAGCGGACTATATTTATCTTTGGATTTATCGCCTGAAATAGCATGAGAATTAGTTCCTTACCTAAAACAAGAAATATTGAGAAAGAAAGTGGAAACAAAACTATGTCAACAATGCACCATAAGTTGAGGAACAACCACCAGAGGTTTGACGGAATGAATGCTATTTGACGGTTGCCATGCCACTTCTCATCCATAATACTTATTACAATTGGGTGATCAAAAAACTGCAAAAAAATAAGGGAATTAATAACTTAACGCAAAGACAAAATTAATATGACTATAAGTAACACCACAAACTAAGTTAAATGTTCGATTTCTCCTCAAATGTTCTACAGAAACTATGTATTTCCCAGACTTCTTATGAGAAGGAAAAAATAATTGATATATGGCATGTTAAGTAGGATTATCTGTTTTTACTTGCGTTTAAAGAGCTGGTAAAAGCATCGGATTTTGGCTATTTAGAAATTATCAAACGCGGTTAAGTGATGTAAGCCTGCTTCCACATAGTGAACTAAAAAACATGGCGCTCTCGGTAATCCGAAGTCCAAATAGCCAGTGAATTTCTGACTAAAGCAGAACTGAAGAATTGCAAGAATACGCAAAACATTGATCGATGAATGTTATCTACTTGGAGAATGTGCAAGAACAGTCATCGTAATATATCCTGAAATCGTGCCGAGAAATAGGACAAAGTTTTGAAAAAAGTCTACGAAGAGGCATGTCTGATTAGACTGACTTAGAAATATTTTGAATGAATAATAAAACAATTATTGAATTCGGATTTCGTATGATGTGAAGTAGTATACAGATCTTGGAGACGGTTATCAGGTAGGTAACATTCTCCTCGATCTGCATAATTCCTCATATCATACTCAGCCTCATTCAATAATTGTTTCATACACTGATACATCATCAGGACATTACGGTGCAAAATTAAAGTGTTTGTTGTTTGTTTCATTCTTTCTTTAAAGAACATTGAATTTCACTGAATTTTGCTCACTGCATGGCTACCGAGGTATTTCAGTCGGTACTGTAACAGTACAAATTATTTTCTCATAAATAATATCTCACTACGAAAGGCTAGCGTTTGTTTCCTTAACCTTCTTTTGATTTAACTTGATAGCCGTGTCCAGTAAAACATCCGTTCCCGGGTTTAAGGCGAACGCCTCTCGCCATTGTTTCTGATCTGTCAGTGGGTCTAAAAAGCGCAATGTAAACTCCTCCACACGATTAGCCAGCTCAATGAAATCATCTTTATTAGGCTCCTCCTTAGCTGCCCGCTCATGAAGTTTCTCAGTCACCTGCCAGGACACAATAGATTCACAAATAATCACCCTTAAGTAATACTACAGACAAACATTCTCTTTATGGAAACCTAAACAACTGATTGTCGCCTCTCTCGGCCTCTCTAAAACGGAGCTCAACACGCCGGGTCAGCTGTCGCGACTTTCGGGTCGCTTAACGAAAACTGAAGCCAAGAAACCAATTTTTCAGTTTTTATCGGTTTGTGCCAACAGTTTGCAGGATGGTATTGCTAGCAATCTTAGGTTTTGTTTTCGCTTTTCGATTTCAACGATTTTTGGAAAAAAATGAAGTCACATGATTGAGAGCAAAATTTTAACTTCAATTAGTTGCGTAGAGAACCCGCTATCTGCTTCTCACCTGACCAGGGCAGGAAGCTTTGTCTAACCACTTACCTTTACGGCCAGTAACAGAGGATCCTTATCATTCATTATCGCTTTCGCTGTTACTTTTCGTTGAATATCATCGTACTCATCCCATTCCCAGGACACTTTGCTTAATAAGGAACCTAGACACACAGATGAAAACTAAATGATTACTAGCAATGCTACCTTTGCAGGCGTTTTGCTGTACACACCAAGCACCACATTCCATTCCATTCATGCAATCGCATTTTTAACAAACGGTTAAAACCTCGCCAGAAAAAACAATCAAAAAACAAAATATTTAACGCACTTGTTCAATCTCGCTCAGTTCGTCTAAAGACTGTATCGAAGTTCAGGAGAAGTATCGTGTTTTCGCCCTCCACAAAAGAACACTTTCATGCATGTCGTAGTAGGTCTAGTCGTGCAGTGACGGCAAAGAAATGTACAAAAAAGCTTGATGCACCAGGGGTACCCAACGACGGTTTCCTCCTAAATACATTGAAAACACTTCTTCGGCTATTCAGAGTACTCATTGATCTCTAGAAAAGCACTCTAAAAGCGGCACTATGAAATTTGTATATCTGTTCGGTCACCCTAGGGAAACTTGAGTCTTTTCGAAATTACAAGAGAGTCAATATTATTTTCCCAAAAATTTTAGATGCAATTTAACGTATTACGAAGGAGAGAATTTTTCTTATTCCTCTTTCCATCACATTTTTGAATCCGAAAATTTTAGGTTTCCTTTTGCTACGAAAAATAGCCCAACCTGGGGAGTGAAATGTAGACCGCACTATACTTTATTTTCATGCACACCAATTTGCCATGCATCTCCGCTCGCAAATAGCAAAAGCTAGACGAGACGGACAAAGAGGAAAGGTTACAGCAGTCATAACAGATGATATTGTAAAGTGACTACATAAACTACGTGGATAAAATATATAGTCTTACAGAATGATATTACAAGACAAATTTACTACTAACAGAACCTATCAATTATTAGTGCATTAAGGATGCAGAATTTGCCATTTTTTTTTAGGAGAACGGGCACTTCAACATAATCGTCCTCTGCTTCCATTATCGAGAGCAAAAAGTCACGAAAATTTTTTTTAAAAGCTCCTTTGGAGAGGTCACGAAATTCGTTAGGAATTGCGTTCCAAAGTTTAGCTCCAAACCTGGAAAAAGAATCTTGATTTAGATTCAGTCTTGAAGTTTGGACATAATCATTTCCAGACGAAGAAAACCTGGTCTCATGCTTGTGCTTTGGATTAGCTTTAACGAGAATTAGTTCAAAAAATCACAGATGTTATTTTAGTATTTAAACGGAGATATAGGCATTCATGCAGGAGACGTCAAACATTATAGAAATTATACAAAACTTTTTTCGAAAATTTCAGCCAGAAAAAAAGGTTCTTTTTTAGCATAAAAATAACATTTGTAAAGATGTAGAATTTTTTTAGGAAATAAATAAAAATCGGCACAGTCATGGGTTCTGGGTTCAGAAAAGACTTTTTCACATCAAACGAAAATAAATAAAGGACTCGTTTTTCAGCAAAGCACGAGGACTCGTTTTTGCAGCACGAGAGTTTGGGAGAGTTATGTTGTCTATAGATGATATCACAAATGATGTTGCTTTTCTGCGGAAGTTGGATTTCGAAAGTGACTGGAAGGCTTCATCACGTACTTTTTCAATGACAGTATATTTCAGAGAATCATTAACATACAAGCCAACACCTCCAGAAGCTAGAGGTGTCGGAACATACTCGAAATCATATCCAGGTATTCTTGGATTAACATCCATTTCTTTACCGCTAATTATTTTAGTTTCTGAGACTCCTATAATACTAAATTCGAAATTTAACTCGTCCAATAGATGAAATTGAAAGTTTTCAAGGTTTCGCTTAAAGCTCCTGATATTATTGTGTAAAAGAGAGAAGCTCGAATCATTGACACGACTGGGAAGTTCACTTTTAAATTTGTAGAAACTATATGGGGAATAGTATCGACTATGAATACGATGATTATAGAGACTATCACCCGGATTGGGGTCTTCAAGTACGTTTAGCCTGAAAAGATTAAGGTCATAAATGCTAGAGAGTTTTTCTACGTATTTTTGGGCCGGCAAATGAGAAGGTAAACAATTATTAAATTGACCATGAGCTAAGTTTACATTTAATCCAAAATACGCGAGCTCACGGAATAAAGATAGAGTATCGGGAGAGTTTTGATCGTTAGCACTCATGAATAAAACTAACTAAAGTAAAACAGTAAATACTTATCGCACTGATAATGCCAGGTCTCCGAGGCAAGTTGCTGAAGACTACCAATGTCCGTTATCTTTATTGGTATAGGGAACCCTCACTCTTACGTAAATAAACCGTGGAATTCTTAGCCCAGCAAAAGCGGTATTGGTTCAGTTCTTTAAATCTCTTCGCTTCAAACAACAGGTGTTGTTTTTAGGGGGTGAGGTGATCGAAGATTCTATCAACAGACAGACCGATATTTGATGGGTTGACTTCAGCGGCACTTTGTCGAGTTTCCATGACACTTGCTTTTGCGAGGTGTCTTACAAATTTGCAGATGATGGGTTTCGGAGCGCTATTATGCTGCCTGGAGGGGGCGCGATGAGCAATGTCAATGTCCGACAGAAACACTTCTGCCCCAATCTCCTGGAATAATTTTACGAAAAGGGAGCTTGTTTCAGCTGCGGTTTCACTGCTTTTCTCTGCCAGGCCAATTATTTTTACATTAGATTGGTAGCTATATTCTTCAACCTCGTCAATGGCGTTGCCAACACGTGTGACTTCAGCGCTAAGCTTATTAAGACGACGGCTTAATGCCTTGAGTTGATCAACGGCACTAGAATTAGACGCCGACAGGTCGTCGTATTCGTCGCTCAGATATTGTAGACTACGAGACACGGTTTTATCATTCGAAGCATTATTATTGCTATTACCAGACGAAGCAGCTGCTTCAGCACCAAAGGTACGTTAATGGCCGAATCGACCCGAAGCTTCTCTTTCAGCTGCGTTCTTTTCTTCGAAAAGGCGTCGACCTTATCCTTTAAATCTTGATTTTGTTGCTTTAGTGCAGTAACTGACTCTTATGCATGATTTCAGTGAAAATTATTAACAAAAGGACAGTAGAAAAACGACTCATTAAGGTAAGAAGCAGGTGCTCAAAATTAAACGTCCATCTTGGCTCCTGACCGCTGACCTATCCCCCCCCCCCCCAAAAAAAAAAAAAAAAAATTGTGAAAAATTAAACTTCGGAAAATCTTTAATAGGGAATTTAATATGAGATGAGCTTCGAAAATTGTACATGAATGGAAGGGTCACCTAGAAATGTTTAGAAGTCCTTAAGTAATAGAAAATTCTAGGCAATATTTGCTTCTCCGAACAGACATTTTACAGAAAACAGTCGTTGGGTGCCCCTGATGCACGTGCAAAGTTGTTCAGTTGTTAAACCTATTGCTTTTTTAAGGCCGCAGAGAGGATTTCCAAATATAGTACTTAAAAAAAATGAACATTTACGAGCACTGAACGCGAGTTACCCGTTTCAACCCCTTATGAGTCTGCTAAAATATAATATTCATTTGCCTTTACACAAAAAACTGTTAAGCCTATGCCTTGTCAGTTTCACCAGTCTTGAAGCATTTGAACTGTTTTCATTGTCATACCACTGTATGCAGCAGCAGTTTCTGCCGGCCAAGCCATCCGTTTAAGTTCAATGTCTTCCTTAGCGCGCCTGAAGTGTTAAGAAAAGTAGTAGAGTGGACGATTTCAGAATCTTGTCTTGCACTTTGTACATATTTCCACAAGCCTAACTAAATTTATTTTAATAAATACAATCACTATGAGTGTTTTAGTTAAGGGACCGGTCAAAAAGTATAGAGGGAGGGGGGGGGGGGGGCGGTGGGCCGGAGCAGAGAGGAGGTGGGTCATGAGGTTTTGAGCCTTATGCAAGGGGTGGGTCGTGCAATTTTCAGCTACCCTTAGGGGGTGGGTTACCCTATTTTATTACATAGATAGGCACTAACTACTAACGAGACAGTTAACCACACTTGTTATATAAAACACAGCTGGAATTATTGCTACAATACTCACAAACCTGTTGTGCGGGAAAATGCAAAAGGCGACAGGCCGCACATCTCTACGGCCATGAAACCCATTGTTAACCTTTTTTTGGCTCTAACGAGCATGTCCTTTAATGATTTTCCTTTTTTGTAAGGAAATGATTGGTGGTTCTTTAAAAAATTATTGAAGTTATGGTAATTGGTTGGTTTTGTATAAGATTCCATTTTTTCATTCAAGCTTCCTTCATAGTAGACACTGAGGGTTGGTATTGTGTCACGAATGGCAATATTTCTTTTTCCTCCTTGTTTTGTTTTAGGAGTTCAGACTCCTTTTGTGAATTTTATTTCCTTTATTCCCGTCCATCAAGGGTTTTTTTTAATTTCAATTATTTTCCTCAAAGGTTGTTTTCGTAGGATTCTCAAGGCTTCTCCTTTGACAAATCCTTTTTTAACACTTGGAGGGTGACACCAGGTGAGGTGAAATGTATGTGCAAGAAGGTTTTCATTTGTTTAAAATGTGTCTTTGCATCAAGGATAGATTTTTCCTTGATTCTTGTGCCTTTGTATACAGCCGTGTCTAAAAACGCAGTCTCAGTGTCAAATGTTTCGGCCGTGAATTTAACTTCGATGTCTGGTTTACTCATGTCCCACAGGGAAAAGATATTGTGTATGTAGGATCTCCAAACTGTTGTTCTAAAGACGGTTTTGCTTAGAGTTGTTGTTTCAAAATATGCCATGGTTTGTCGGCAAAGGAATCAAAACTGCTGTCTTTGTGCCCACTGCATTTCCATGGTGTTGTAGGTATAGTGCTTTCCATTGAAGTGGAAGAAATTTTCTTTGAGGACTATTCTAAGCATTTCCGGCAAGTAATGTGTAGAAATGGGTTGTCTTTGTAGAAATTTCCATATGCTTTGTGACAGACAATTTCAAT